ATTGCTCCAGTCCCTGAATAAAACAAAAAAAAAATTTTCAAATTCAAAAAATAATAAGACAGGAGTCAGAGCTTACTTTTTGTATATGTATAAAATTTTTGCATAATGTTTTAAATTTTATAAAAATTTTATACAAGTACCTTAACACCTATACTATCTCTCTGACCCCTCAACTTTTACTTACCAGAACTTAGGCAGTGTTTACAGTGCCTGCCTTGCATACAGCCAACCCACAGTCGGGTTGGATCCCAGCACCACAACACGGTTCCGACACCCCAGCCCCAGAGGAATGATCCCTGAGCACAGAGCCTGGAGTAAGCCCAGAGAACTGCAGGGTGTGGGCCAAAAAAAATTAAAGAAAAAAATGAAGTAATATCACAGATATGTAAATATAAACAAGATTGAGAGTTTAAGAAAACTATCATTTTAGTACTCAGGACTAAATGAGAATGACAAAATGGACAAAAAGGAGAAAACTGGCATGACAAAAAATGTTGTCTTTTTAAAACACAAGAAAATGCTTCCAAACGAAAAGAAAAACAAACAATAGATCAACAGGGCCTGGGAAAATAGCTCAAAGGGATGCACTGCATGCAGAAACCCCAGGCTTGATCCCCAGCATCACATGGTAACCTGTGTACTGCTGCGAGCAACCACTGAGCACCTGAGTGTGACCCAAAAACCAAAACCAAACCACCCCCCCCCCAAAAGCAACAAAAATAGATGAATAGGATTAAAGTGGCAAAATATCAAATATAGGCAAAGAAAATAATCAGGGTCCCTGAAAAAGAAGATCAAAGCACGGGAATAGGACCGACACTAAAAACTGTGATTAACAAAGCTTTCCTGAAAGATATTTTAAAAATTAATCTATAATTTTTTTAAAAACCCTCATTTGATGGGGCTGGAGAGATATCACAGTGGGTAGGGTATTTGCCTTGTATGCGGCTGACCTGGGTTCGACCCCCATCATCCCACATGGGCACCGCCAGGAGTAACTGCTGAGTACAGAGCCAGGAGTAACCCCTGTGCATCGCCAGGTGTGACCCAAAAATAAATAAATAAAAAAATAAATAACCCTCATGTGAGAAAATAGAACCATCAAAACTAACACCAAGACATTATTCTAAGACATTTATTAGACTTTCACAAAAACATACACAGAATTGTTCCTAACAGACAGAAAATAAAAACTACACAAATGGTCATCAACTTATCAATGAACAAAGTATGAAATATTATTCAATGGGGGCTGTAGAGATAACATAGCTGCTTGCTTTGCACATGGGTTTGCTCCCTGGCATCCCATATGGTCCCCCAAATCCGGCTAGGAGTGATTTCTGAGTGTAGATCCAAGAGTAATTGCCGGATGTGGCTCAAAAACAAAAACAAAAACAAAGCAAAAAAAATGAAATATAAGTCAACCATAAAATAAATGAAGGCCAATTAGATAAAGAATCAATAATTAAAGAAATCACAGATAAGAGTCTCCTACAGTTGAAGAATACAGGCAACCAGCTACAAGCGGCCTGATGGTTCCCAGAGAAAACGGCTCAAGCAGGAAAACTTCAAAGGACGGTGTGCTCAGAATGACGAAAACCAAAAACAGAAACAGAAACAATGCTGAAAGCAGCAAGGTCAGAAAAAGGAACTTACATACAAAAGAAAGACTGTAAGATTCATAACAGATCAAATGAGACTCTATGAGCTAGAAGAAAATGGAGAAATATAGTACTGAAAATCAATGAACTGAACATCTCACCAAGAATACTCTATCCAACTAGACTATCATTCAGATTTGAAGGGAGGATACGGAACTTCATGGACAGTCAATAGTTTAAGAATTCATAGCCTTGAAACCAGTTTTGCAAGAAGCATTGGAGGAGGTCCTCTAAAGGGGAGAACAAAGTTTTCAACAAGTGGCACTGAGTATGGCACTCACTCATGGTGCTGCGTATAGTGGCCCTCTTCTAGACTTAGAAAGTGTGCTTAAAATCCCCAACTTAGGGGGCCGGAGCGATAGCACAACAGGTAGGGCGTTTGCCTTGCACACGGCCGACCCAGGTTTGATCCCCATCGTCCCATATGGTCCCCCAAGCACCGCCAGGAGTAATTCCTGAGTGCAAAGCCAGGAGTAACGCCTGAGCATTGCTGGGTGTGACCCAAAAAAAGGAATAAATGAAATAAATTGGCTTGAGAAAAAAAATCCCCAACTTAAAAAAATAAAAATAAAATCCCTAACTTGCTAAGGGATTTTATGTTTTCAATAATAAATCAATATTTCATTAATGTTAAATGTTCTATGTCTAATCAGGTTTTTTATATTCAGAGAATTTTGCAATCTTTTACTTCTGAATGCAAACACTTAAGCAGTATATATAATGTTTTACAATGTAAAGCCATTATTCCCTTTCCTATGATGAAGTACACTTTATATTTTTGTAGACCTACTCAGAATTTCCCCTTAAATTGCCTTAATTCTCTTCACTCTTACTAAATTTTACATTTGAAGGATTTATCTACTTCATGTAAATATTAAAATGTACTAGCGCAGAATTGTTCATAATGTTAACTTTTTTAATCTACATACCTCTTAAAAAAGGTTCTGAAGTGAAGCTTTCCAACTTATTAATTTACAACTTTGCGGAATTCAGATTAGCTCTATTCAACTATATATGTAGGTGTTATCACCTCCACAATAGAGAGAGCATTATCTTTCTTTTACATGGAATTAAAAAGAAACAGTGGGACTGGAGTGATAATACTGCACATAAAGCCCTTTGCCTTTCATGCAGCAGACCCAGTTCAATACCAGGGACCCGATAGGATCCCCTAAGCCCACCAGGAAATACCCCTGATCACAGAGCCAGAGTAAGCCCTGATCAATGGTAGGTGTGAATCAAAACAAAACAAAAGAAATATGGTAAGAAAACAACAAATGATCAAAGTCACCAATGGACAAAATCAAGATTTTTATCTCTAGAACTGAGCTTTACAAGGAGAAGCTGAGAGGGGGCTTTGGGGTGGAAAGAAACAGGCTCTCTGGTAATTGGGTGCAGTGTTGGAAACATGAATGCATGAAAAGTATGATTAACAGTATGGTAAATCCGGGGCTGGAGCAATAGCACAGCGGGTAGGGGGTTTGCCTTGCATGCATCCGACCTAGATTCCATTCCCAGCATCCCATATGGTCCCCCGAGCACCGCCAAGAGTAATTCCTGAGTGCATGAACCAGGTGTAACTCCTGTGCATCGCTGGGTGTGACCCAAAAAGGAAAAAAAATGTATTGTAAATCCTAGTACTTCAATAAAAATAGGTTTAAAAAAGAGAAAGTGGAGAACAATCAGTGGAATAGAAAATAACTGCAAAGGTCAAGAAGTATACTTGAAACTTCACTAGGAAAGTCCACAGATAAACAGTAATTTGGCTAATGTTGTGTACAAGCGATAAAATGTTCTAATATACAACTTCTCCAATATCTGTGATTCTTTAATGCTTCCCATTTGAATATAGTATTATCTCTGAACAAATTGATACCTCAAAGTCATTCCCTGCTATTATGCCAACTGTGACAAATATCCCTTCTCTGAAGGTTTTGTTAAAAATCTAACAATTTTCACTCCTACACCAAGCTTAAGAAGAAAGTTCATATCCTCACTTTATACCTAGGAAAATCATTCAGACACATGGTCAAGGTGGTGTCTATAATCAGTGAAAACACACGCTCGCACACAGCTTGTAAATTTCTAAAAAAGCTCCAGATTAAAACTACTTTCTTCATCTTCTTCAAAGCAGGCTGAGTGCTTTTGTGGCCCTTCGTTTCATAGGCAAACAAGTGCTTTTCCTGCTATACCATTTTTTTTTGTTGTTACTAGGCACTAATGGACCAAGTAAAATGACCAAAAAAAAAATGCTTTTCCCAAGGTTATTAGAACAATAAAACATCGATGTGCCATGTATTCCATGAGCTACACTTCAAGTGAAATTGGTTCTCACGTAAAATTATGCAGCGTAATATGAGGTCTGCTTTAAAAAGAAGGCAGATGTATGGTCCTAGAAGACTCCACTTCTGCAAAAAAAAAAAAAGGACTTTTCCAACTCTCTTGGAGTCCTGGAGCAGAAGCAGAAGTTAGCCTAATGCAACTTATTCTTTCGTTTATCTAACATTGCTAACATCTAGCACTGCTGTGTGTCTGGCTCGCCCTTTTTATAAAAGAAAAATGGAAAAGACATGGCCTTTATCCTCGAGGGCCTTGTAGATTCTTCGGGAGGGGTGAGGGGGGAACCACAGTCGGGAAATAGAAATCTAAAAAAGCTCCAAGCCTTTTTTTTTTTTTTTTAAAGATCTAGGTCCCAAAGAATGCGGGGAGACAATCCCGGGTTAGGATGCTCTGGAGAGATTTCCTCCGAGTGGGCGGAGAGACCCCCGAAGCCAGAGTGGGGGGCGTGTCCCCATCGCCGACAGTAATGATCGCAAACTAGGGGTCCCACAAAAACTCCCAGCGCAGACCCCCACCCCCCCAGTCCCATACCTTCCCGTTCAACACCACCTAAGTCGTTTTTCCTCGAAGCCTACACAACCCTGGTGGTTTACCTCCGGGACCTCCCGCGATCCAGATCGCACACACACCCACGACCCCAAGGACAGCTTCACCTCTCCAAAGCTAGCCAAAAGGCTCAAGCGGACCGCGGGGGTGGGTGTGTGTGTGTGGAGGTGGGGGATGAGGGGGACGCTAAGAGCCAATTAAAAAAAAACAAAACTGTTGGAAGCCGACGGACTCTAGGACCCAGGGACGCGGGGTGGGGGGGGGGGAGAAACAAACAGCGAAAGGAGCACAGCAGGGGGGCCCCCGCCGCGTGGAGATGAAGTTTACAACGGCCACTTCCGGAGGCCCGGACCACTCTCCGCCGAGACCTTCCAGACTCTCTCCGACCTCCCGTTCCCGCCCGGGCCCGGCCCCCGGCCCTAGCCTCCCGCCCCGCCGCTGCAGGATACGCACTCGGAGAACGGCGCACTCCGATTGGAAGAGCCGGGCCCGCGAAGCTGCGCGGCTTCCCAGGGAGGCCGGACGACGCATGCGCCGTTGCCGGGGAGCGGCGCGCCCGCGTCCGCGCGCGCGGCCCGCGCCCGCCCCCCGAGGACGGCCCCCACCCCACCGCACCCCACCCCACCCCCACCGCCTCCTCCCCAGCGCCGTGGCGTCCTTTTTGAAGTCCGCCACTCACAGGCTCACGGTCCCCGGAGGGCCTGCTGAGGTTGCGGCTTTCTCTAACTGCTCTGTGGGATCTAAAACAGTCCCACTTAACGAAGCCCAATCAGGAACCGCCTTAGACCTGTGTTATCTCACTGTGATTCCTTTTTTTTAAAAAAAAAAAAAATTTTTTTTTTTAATAAAACGCCCAGACTTGGAAAAAATCTGAGTGAAAAAATGGTTACCATTGGAGCGGGGAATGGATGAGATTGGTGCTTAAAGAGTACCAGCTTGCAGCCAATTTTTAAATCAGCCTTTTATCTGATGTCCAAGTCTGAATGAAGACAACGCTCTACCGTAATTACCTGATGGGCTGAACGTGACCAGAGAATTCCTATCACGGAAATGTATCAAAGTAACACCTTGCACGCCTCACCTAGGCTTTTTTATATAGCAAATGTATCCCGTTTTTAAGAAGCCGATTAGTAAACCTTAATCCCTTCATTTTCAGACCTCGTGAATAAAAATTTAAAAGCGCAGTTCCCAGATGCTGCCTTTTTACACAGAACCCCTGCAGATCCGTAGGGTCGGGGGCCCCCGGCGACCCGCGCACTCACGCCATAACTGGGGGCGGGGCCGGGAGCGGGGGGCCTGGAGGCCGCTGAGGGGGAGGCGGGGAGTCTCCGGCCCCATTTCTGAGCTAGTGATTCAACCTGCAAAACGCTTCTTACTGCAACCCACCTTGTGGCTGGGTCAGTGCGCTGGCACTGGGGCTGCATCTTTCCTAAAAAATATTACATAATGGGGTGCCTCGCTTGAAAAGTCTTTGGAGCCTGAGCGTGTGCTCCATCTTTCTATCCTCCGCCCTTCTCCTCCCCCTCCCCGCGCCCAGCCACATGCGTTCCTCTTGTTGCTAATTTATACTTGTGTTTCTCCCAGTAGCAGCTTCACAATCTGCTGCCGCCTCGGGGAGATTTGGAAAACTAAATCCTCTTTTGTTCCTTGGCTTTTGAAAGCCTATTATTCCCTAAAGAACAATGCAAATTGGCAGAATTTTGATTGAAGATTTTTATCTTCACCACCACCTTTCTCCCCCACCACCACCTCTGAAAAAAGTGTCTGTACAAAATGAGGCTTTCCTGTTCGAAGGATCCCATGTTGATTGTGATCAACCTAAATCCAGGTGTGGGGGCCGTCTTCGCCCTCCCTCCCTCGGGAGCACCAACGGTCCTAAACGCGAAGTATCAACTGAAGTTCAAAGCCTCCTTGATGCCTGTGGCACTGAAATTTGAATTGTTTTGAAGCTCAAATCTAAATTTGTTTCTTAGATTTGAGAAAGGACTTTCCCATCTCCTTTTCTACAAATTTATCCAAAAAGACAAGTGCTGCAAAGAATTCAAATGTAAAGAGAAATAGTGGGTCTAATGTTTTATTTATTTGTTCTTTTTCCTTTTTTTTTTTTGTTTTGTTTTGCGCTTCGGAGATTGAACCAATTGCTTGTTACTCTCTCCTAGGATAATGATCTACCTCTGAGCCCTGCTCAGCCACTCCTGACATGTAGAAACAAAATGAAAAACTACAATAGGCCAGTGAGATTTGAGTTTCTCTATCAGTTTTTGAATAACGTTCATAAAATGTCTTATTTACATTTTATCAAAAGCTCAGAAATGAATTTTGTGTGGTAAGAACAAACACCAAATATTCTATATTTGCACCCATAAAAATGTTAGATGATGACTTGCAATCTTCATTGTTTGTTCATGCAGCATTTACTGAAGAGAGACCAATATATCCAGCCTAGAGCTAGGTGATAGAACAAAATATGTAATACAGGTACAGTTGGAATCAAAAGAGAGAAATATTAAAATTAACCTTGAGCACCCTGAAGGCTTCATTAGAACTTTGAGTTTAATCTGGGGAAAAGCCTATAGATTCATCCAGAAGGAAGATACCAAAGCTACAAACACCAGGGCTGGAGAGAGTACAGCAAGTAGAGCCCAGGTCTTGCAGGTCAGGGTTCAATCCCTAGCACCCCATGGGACTCGGCAAGACCCACCAGGAGTGATCCCTCAGGGCAAAGCCGGGAGTTAAGTCCTGAGCACCAAAAAGAGAAAGGAGGGGAGGGGAGAAAAGCAGGCCACAAACTAGAAGTATTGGAAGATACCAGGGAAACTGGTAGGAGCTCTGGGGCAGTCTCGGGTACAAGAGAGTCAAGGGTAAGAAATGCAACTGGAAGGGCTGGAGCCATAGCACAGTGGGTGGGGCGTTTGCCTTGCACAGGGCCAACCTGGGTTCGATCCCCGGCATCCCATATGGTCCCCCCAAGCTCTGCCAGTAATAATTCCTGAGTGCAGAGCCAGGAATAACCCCTGAGTGTGACTGGGTGTGACCCAAAAAGAGAAAAAAGAAAAAGAAAAGAAATGCAACTGGAGAAGTAAGCAGAACCCAACTCACGGAAGGCCTTCTCGGTCATGCTTAATGTATAAGCAATGACGCTGATGATGGAAAAAAGTTGAAATAATTATACAGTAAATCAGATGGTGGGTTCTTTTTATGGTTTCAGATCTTTAAGTCTTTAGTTTCTTTTAAATTATGTTGTACATGGAGTAAGGTAGCCATCCAGTTTCATACTCTTGCACGTGGCTGTCCAGTTTCTTGTTTGTTTTTCAATTGGTAACTATGAGAGGACAAAATCAAAACAGAAAACAGGAAGAAAAAAAAAATCAAAAGCAAGCCTAAGAGCGCAGAAGTACCTTTCTGGCCCTGGGGGAGTATTATGAGCTGATTGTATGCACATGGAGTCTCAGTATTTTTAAGCACCAGATGAGCCACATCCTCTTGACCCTTCAGTGACCTCCTGCAGGAGATTCAACACCAATTGCTTGATTTTTTTGTGCTGCTTTGGTATTAATTCTTTAGAACCATAAAGCCTTTAGGCCAATGTTATTCTCAGTGCCTCTGGCCCTTTGCTTCTTCAGTCCCTATTGTGCTGGCTACAAAGGAAACCGTTCTTCTAAAGTAATTCTGATTATGTTACCCTCTTGATGTCTTTAAATGTCCTTGGTGCTTGCAAAACAAATCTCAGACTTCTCCCTGTCATTCCAGGACCTCTAGTCTTGTCCCTTCCTGCCTTGCCTTGCCTTGCCCACCTTGCCTTCTTCTATCTTGCCATGTAGATCCAAAAAATTGGCTACCTACCAAAAAAAAATTTAAAAAAACAGACTAAGTGGGAATAAATTTCATAAGAAGTAGGTATGGACTTAAACATTTTAACGGTTTAAATTTTTAGGGGTCAGAGAGTTGTTTAATGGCTAGAACACATGCTTTGTATGGAGAGGCCCAAATTCAGTCCCTGGAACTATCTAATCCCCCAGACACCTTCACAATAGCCCTGATGGTCCCCAACACGGGTCGGAAGCCCTCAAAAGTTTTAAGATATATATATGTATATATATATGTATATATATATACATATATATACATATATATATAGCTGGAGAGATAGTACAAAGGTAAGACAGTTGCCTTGCTTATAACTGATCTCAGTTCCTCCCTAACACTGTATAGTCCCCTGAGCCCAGAGTCAGGAGTAAATTCTGAGCACCACCAAATGCAGCCCAAAAAACAAAAAAACAAAAGATAGGTATAGTGATATAAGATTTTTAAATCTAGATATTAAACATGTAATATGTGCCAAGAACTATGGTAAGTTGTTTTACTTTTGTTCTGTCTTCCCAAAGTGCAAATGATCTAGAAAGGCAGCATAGCAGATAGGGTGTTTGCTGACTGTGCAAATGAGTCGAGGGTAAGTGAAGAATGACAGCAACAGAGTGATAGAAGCAGAAGCGGATTTCATGGAGCTTGAGAATTCAGGGTGGTAATCTGGATTTGGAGTATGTAGGTTTGGGAGCATGGGATAATTAGTGTCGAGTTCCTTCCCCTCCCTCACTCCTCTTCCCTCCACACTTGTACCCCACAGTGGAGTCTAGATGAAATGAAAGAAGTTGCAGATGCTAAAGCAATATGGAATGGAAAAAAGAAATGAATTAAGAAGATGGGGTCGGAGCAATAGTACTGTGGGCAGGGCATTTGCCTTGCGTGTGGCTGACCTGGGTTCAATTCCCAGCATCCCATATGGTCCCCCTAAGCACAGCCAGGAATCATTTCTAAGTGCAGAGCCAGGAGTAACCCCTGAGCTTTGTTGTGTGTGTACCTCCCCACAAAAAATAAATAAAAAAGAAAGAACAGAAAAAAAGAGAGAGAAAATAAAAGAAACAAGGTGAAAGTTTCATCTTTATTTTCTGTTCAACTCTGCTTGTGAGGCATGGTTAGTCCCAAGAGAAACTGCCTGGATTTCTAAGAAGGGAAGCAGCATTCATTTCTCTCTACCATCTCAAGAGCCTGAGACACAGTGCAGTTCACTGTGTCTAACTCCCAAGTTTTTTTTTGCTGGCCTTGCACACTGGCTGAAACCATAGCGTCTCTCTTTCTGCTGAATCTGTTTCTTCAACTTCTCAACATCCTAGACAAAGCTACTAGACAGCTCTGTGGTAAAAGACTAGCTCCTGCAGGACACCTGTGTGATGGGATGTGAGCAACAGCCCATGATTCTGGGTTCTCCTCCGCCACACCTCCCACTTTCACCTGGTTGTCAGACCTCACCTTTTAGTCTGGTCAGTCTGGAGCCTTTTATAGGTGTCTTTAACCAGCATCTACACTGAGTAAAGGTGAATTTCTAGCAAATTTCCTCCTTCCTGTCACTCATACTGGTTCTGCTTCTTTGAATGAACCTTAAGTGATGCAGTTTCTTACAACATATCCTGAATATTAATGTAGCCAATCTGTGGTTATTTGTGGTAATGAGGTGTG